TCATTACAAAGATCAAACACACATAATTTTATTCGTCACGTCAACTCAATGGTACTTGAACCCACGTCCATGTTGCATGGTAAAGGGCAAAGCTACTGCAGCATGAACGAAGTCCCACCGGGTCGACGAAAAAACATTTTTTTCTGTCTCTTCGATCTTTGTATTCATATCCATAACAAAACTAGTGTAGTTACCAAAAAATATCAATATATATACTATTTTTAAATAGTTTATATCTTTTGTTTGGCCACCTAAAGCGAAAAATGCAACAGAATATAATTGATTTTTTTTATATGACGGTATGAGCGAGTCGTGCGGCCACTGGTAAGTGACACGCTGGTCCATAACAGCTGCAGTGCCACTCAGAACTTTGAGTCATAGAGATCTGAGTGGGCACTGCCGCTGCGCCAGTCACTCTGAAACATAAGTTGACAAGTCCCATGTGCCTGTAATTTCACCAGCACCCTTACTCTTCAAAACCTGAACGCAGTAATGCTCACACATTGTTCCTATGATCGCGTAAACGCCCAATTTATTATTATACGCGTAAAAATGTGAATGAAAATATTGCATTCCAATTTAGCGCTTTATTATGTTCTATTCATATATAAAAATACTAAAAAAGTATATAATGCAAAATCGCAACAAAATAAAACCAAGAATAAAAATATAAGTGGCTTACATTTTTTAAAAATATAAACGCTAAACATAGAGATACTTTGTGTGATGTAAGTACCGGTAACAAAAGGGTACTCGGTATTTGCTGAAAAATGTAGTGGGTTTTCTGCATATATTTTCATTTAGGACCTATAATGAAGTCCCGGAAAAACATACTCAAGCGTACCTATGACTTTACATCACTCGAAATATCCGTTTCAGGTTTTTTTATTATTATCTTAGTAGAAGTATTGTGATGTATGTAACGATGGTGCAGGATCCCCCGATAATTTAACTTCATTTCTTAACACGTTCACAGTCCATGACTCTACCTGGAGTCGAGATCATAGACTACCTGAAATATATATTTCTTAGGAAGTGTCATCTCTTAAGTCTTAGGAGGTTATGACAACTAGCAATTGGCATATTTAATTTTGGCTGACATCGCATTATGATACTCGCGGTAAGATTTCTACGATTCTGACAACACCGCATTTGTCATAATCCTATTGTTTACTACCGTTGGTAGTAACACAATTTGCGTTCACTGTTTTCGAATAAAAAACCGCCCGTCTGTACAGCACCACCCCACTTGCAACGGCATGGTAGCAATTCAGATAAAGGCGATCTCGACAAATTGAACAAAAAACGCTGAAACATTCGACAGACTTATTTTTTCATGATTCCATAGCTTTTTTGTTCATAAGTCTTCTCATTGGAAATTTATTTTAATACAAATTTTATATATTAAATTAGTGGTTTGTCTGGAACGTAGCGAGCTTAAGGGTCGTATTCTAGAACTCTACTCAATGCTCAAGTCAGGATTTGAGCAGACTTGAGTATGATTTCAAGCACTGGAAATACGACCCTAATGGCAAGGACTTGAGTATGATTTTCAGTGCTCACTGCAATACTCCAGTCCTGACTTGAGTATTGAGTAGAGTTCTGGAATACGACCCTAAGTTCATAACCTCTACCACTCCAATTAGAGATAGGCATGACGGTATACATATATACATATAATACTTATATAGCACCCTTGGTGTAATAATGCCACATTTGCAAAATTAAAACTTTCAGGTGAGAATTTTAAAAATTGTAATAAGGAAATTAGTTGATATATATGCTTAGATGGGTGAGATGTAAAATTTTATAAAAACATGGTTGATTCATGTTTTTATCACTTTTACGTGACATAAAACATTTTTGACATGTCGCTTTATTAGTTTAGTTTAGTATATCTCACACTATCGTAGTCAACTCAAGTGGCTTCCCATTCGTCTCCGCAGCAATTTGCATGTTGTCTCTTGTTCTCTTCAATATTTTTCACAATCCCTCGTCTCGCGAATATTTGACAGAGCGTTTCAGCTTTCCCTGTCGTTCTCTCGTTAGATTCCAGATATCTTTACCTTCCTTCAGTTCCGGTTTTTATTCTCACTTCACTGTTCATGCGGTCAGACTTTGGAACGCATTTCCTATTTCTCTTCACGGAAGTACATCATAGTTAACTACTTTTCAATTCAGAGTTAAAGAGCACTATTTATCTACTGTTCCATCCAATTTATATGTATTTTATTATGAAATATGTATTTACCTAGTATAATGTTATTACATTATTTTGTTTTTGTACACGTAAGCTCGATATTGTAGTTATTTTGTCCTGTATTCAGGTCGGCAGAAAGAAATTTCTTATAAAAGCTAGCCTTTTTGTTTGTGTTTTCCTTTTATTAAATGCAATCTTTGCTTTTTCCTGTACAATATATAACATAATAATTAATACAATTTCGTATAATTTTATACTACTCTTCGAAAAGTGTGCGTTAGTTTACAAAATAATGAAAAATATACAATAATAGTAAGTCACAAGTACTCAATATTGTACATATATCAAGAGAATTAACGAAACTTATCAATAATTGAATTAAACCAACAATGTCGAGCGTGGGTACTGTATACCTTTTAAACTTGAGCGTAATTAGCTAACATGGATATTACATTACTATTTAAAATTATTATACTTATTATGTTTAATATATTATTCGTACGTTTAATATTTATAAAAAAGTCACCGACTAATTTTATTCATAAAATCACAGACGGGAAAATAGAATCTTCAAACATCTCCTGAAAAGTTGCTAATTTGCAGATGTTGCTTTATTACATCAAGGGTGATAAATTAAGAAGTGTAATTTGTTATGCACTTATAGAATATCACATATATGTACCTATAGTCCTAAGTTCATTAACCTGTGCCATCCATGTGAAAAACAATAGATGAAAAACGTGAACGTGCACCTGATGGTAAACTAAACGCCTGTCCATAATAACTGCAGTGTCACTCAGAGCTTTAAATCGCAAAGTTCTGAGGGGCACTGCCACTGCGCCCGTCACCCAGAGACATAAGTTGACAAGTCCCAAGTGCCTGTAATTTCACCAGCGCCCTTACCCTTCAAAACCGGAACATGCTGACATTACTGGTTGGCGGCAGAAATAGGTAAGGTGGCAGTACTTCTCTGGACGAACTCTACTGCTACTACTGTTACTAATTATATGAGTACTGACCGTATGAATTATATCATGGTTATTCCCGAAACGGCTGTCATTAACTCATTAATAACAGGTTTCGCACCACGGAAGAAGCTGTTTATTTATTTATTGAAAGATGCACCATCAACGTAATACAAAACAATCTTAGAATTAAAAATATACGTACCTTCACCGTACAAGGTGTCAAGTCGCTACAGGTGTGTACAGCACTTAAAATGTAGAGTTAGCCAATGAGATACAAAGAATAATCTAAAACAATAATTAAAAACAGCTATGTCGTGGTTAGACAAATTGAACTAGTTATAACTGTTATGATTATTATAATCTGTACTAGGATTAACGAGAGAGAACTCAAAATTTCGAAAAAATTAATGGGAACACAATCATGTTCGTTATTTGACCAAAATACAAGAAGTAGCCATTTTTGAGCATTGAGTGAAAGTTATTAAGTTTTGCAATGTCATAAAATCTTAATAAATATTTAATTATTTCAAAAGCAACAAAAAATAAAAACGCAATTAAACCTTTTTCATGCATTTTATTAAAACAAATTATCTCAAGTACTTACAGACTTAATAGTAAAAATAATAATAAAGAAAATAGCTGCGCAACAGTCACATTTAAACTAAAATGTAAAAAGTTAAAATTGTACTATAAAAAAATTAACAAAGTGGCTTAAACTCTTTGGCAATCAGTCTGAGTATGGCAATTTAATTAGAATTAATTAGATAATAATAAAAATATTACTTTATTTCTTTAAAACTAATGTAAAATAATACCCACGATGAAAACTATTCAGGCAAATAAAAACACATATTATATCGTGCAAACACCGTCTTAATTGGTTTAACAATATCGATAAGCAGAAATGTAAACGTGTGATTATTAAAGATATCTACGAAATTTATTCCAAGATTTGAAAGAGCACAATAAAAATTCTTTTTTTATGATATCAAGTGAAGGGACGAACAAGTTCTGCACAGTTACAGTGCCACTCAGAGCACAGAAAGATCTGTGGGGCACTTGACTGCACGCGTCACCCTGAGACATAAGTTGACAAGTCCCATGTTCCGATAATTTCACCAGTACACTTACACTTCATAATCTCAGTACAGAGTACTATAAAAACCGACCTCAAAAGTCATTCATCCCCTAGTTTGCCACCCTTAGAGGTGGAATATTTTCTTCAAATTTAAATGCGACTACTACTGAGGTACCCTCTTACCAACAAAAAAGAATCATCAAAATCGGTTTACAAATGGAATCACGGAATTATCGTGTAACATACATACAAAAAAAAATACATTTTATTGAAGTCGGTTAAAAACTGACACAGAAATAGGTAAGGTAGCCATTGACCTAGGCGGTAGGTCAATGAAGGTAGCAGTATTTCCCTGGATGAACCCCTTTGCAATTCTGCTATTTCAACTTTACAAAATTTTTGATTAACATTTCGACCCCTCCTACGTAAAGTATCGTATGTCGAAATTGCCAAGTTTACAGGGGAGCGTTTTAAAGTTAAACATAACACGTGACTTTAGCATTTCTTAGTTTTATTCGGTAAAGCTCGTTCTCACATAGAGTATTGTAAAATCCCAGATTCGTCGATTAGATGGACAACCACAATTTATTTTAAAATTAGACTCAATTCAGTGAATTGAAAACTTTAAAACGCTCCCCTGTAAACTTGTTAATTTCAACATACGATACTTTACGTAGGAGGGGTCGATTTCTTACTTTTGTAATCAACTTCATAGGTTACTTCATTGTAGTTAAAAGACGTTTCACAAAAAACTTCAACAAACATAGTTCATAGGAAAATACTTTTTAACTTCAGCCTCATCGTAAAAATTTTTCGAATCATTAGCTAAATTATTTCCGTAAATGATATTCAAATTATTACTCATATTATTCGCACTATCGACTTCATTAATAATCAAAGGTTTCTCTTCATAATATTTGTCAACTGCATTCTCATAATTCAAACTGTCGTCAAAATAAATAGTCGACGTTAAATCATCATCATGTTTTGGTTCTTTATAATCGTAATATTGTGGTGCGTCGTTACTTTCGGGTTTGTAAAGCTTCCTGCAAGTTTTAGATGGCTTAGCGTCAGTGGAAGTCGATACCTCTGGAGACTTCATGCGTTTACTCTTATATCTTCTGTTTTGGAACCAAATCTTCACTTGTGTCGGAGATAAGTTCAAAGTCTTGGCTAGTTGTTCCCTTTCTGGAGCGGTCAGGTACCTCTGGGCGCGAAATCTGAGCTCCAATGCGTGTACCTGAGTTTGTGAGAATAGGATTCGAGGTTTTCTTTTGCCACTTCTGTCCTTTTTCTCCGATTTACTTACTGTAGGGGTTTCTGCGAAAAATAATATCTAGTTATTTACATATGGCGTATAACTACTTACTACTTATAGTATTTAGACTACAAGACTATAAAACTATCACACATCTACGAGAAGATCTATGTAACGTTTACGTAAATGTAACGTTTACACATGCAAGAGGGTAATTTTCAGGTTAGTTTTTCTCTATCTAATTTCGGTGGCAATTTTAATTATTTAAATATTCTTGAGTATTGTCATAAAGCATTATTTAACATTCGAGTACAGTAACCTGAAATATTATTCAATGTTTCACGATAATACATATATACTCAAATACTTAAATAATAAAAATTGCCATCAAAATCAGGTAGTAAAACTAACCTGAAAATTACCCAAGAATAAAATAGAACTAATGAATATCTAGCAAATATTCAGAGAAAAATGCCTCGTTGACCGTATTTATACATTTTGTATTACAAAAAAGTCTTACTCGTACTTTTCCTCAACAACACAGGTGAATTTTTTTCCGTCGGCTCCGTAACATGGTACACATTGGAAGACACCTTTTCTTGGGGCACAATTGAACTAACAGTCACTGCGGTCATATCATTTTTTAAAGGCTCCACAACAGAATTATAAGGCGGCACATCAATGTCAACATAATGCTCAATGTTCTGATGATATAAACTATGGCAATAAGGATTGAAGTTGTAATAATTTTCAACCTTATGCTCATGGTACTCAGGGTTCCAGTATTCTGTATGCATTTCAGACAATGGTGTCATATTGCTGTAGGCTTGGTTTAAGTAATCAGAACAATGTGTCTGATTTTGATGGCTATAAACTTCATAGTATTCGTAATTTCGTCTTTCTTTATCCACTTTCCACATATCATTACGGTCGTAATTATAATTAGATTGATTTATGTTAAGTATGTCTTTGACTGAAAATGGTGTTTGTTGCGTTTGCGAGTCCTTTAGATAGGTCTTATCCGCGAATCCGTATACCCTCTTCTCTTCCATGAGATAAAAGTTTTTGTCATTGAAATTATTCTTCAAAGTATTGTTGTTGTATGAGGTAGATACCTCGTTATGCTGTTCGAAGCCTTCCATATGTTCACAAACACTTCATAACTCACAGGGAGACTAATTTGGGTAATTACCTTACGGGTGTAGAGACACGTTGAAGACTGATGGTGTACGCCCGAAGCCAATCGACAGTGCCTGGAGTTGAAAGGGCGGAGCTTAGGGGTCATCTTCTATCGCACTCTCACTTTAAGAAATCGTATATGCCGTCTCCTTTTCTCAAAGTAAGGACTGTTTACTGTCTGTTGTAAATAAATCGGATGACTTCATTCCAATGGGACGAGATGCCCCTTGATTTTGTTAATGATACTTTGATGAGGCGTTTTGCTTTCAGAGAAAGATTGATGAATTTTTAACACTGTTTGTTATTCTTATGGAAGTTGTTTTGAAAACGAATAGGTGGCTAAGTTATCTCTTTACAGTTTTTACATCAACCCCTTACACATCTCAGTTGGGTAGATCACATATTTGTTTAGTTTAATTTTTTGTCAGTTTAACACAATCAAAACAAGTTTATAGTTTAAAATTAAAGTAGAAAGATACCTTTTGAAATCGCAATAGACACTCACTATATCTTTTATTCATTTTCCTTGATCACGACGTCACAGCAAATCCTACTCTGGTCAAATATTGCGGAGCTCTCGAGGGCGCTTATATGTACTTACAATCTTTAATTTTAGAGTCAGTTGAATTACTTAATATGAGATAATGAAATTATATTTATAACAATGTTACATTAATTTAAATACATGTTTTATTCACATAGCGTTATTGAAAAATAGTAACTGCGTAAGAATAATAATTGTTAAATGTTGAAGTCGAGTAGAATCCTTTTTACGAATTAAATAGTTATAGTAGAGGTCCTTGTGAAAGATTTCGTCCAGGGTAGTACTGCCTCCTTACCTATTTCTGAGGGAACGAAGAAGTCGTGCGCCTGATGGTAAGTTACACGCCTGTCCACAACAGAGCTTAGAATCCCAAAGATCTGAGGGGCACTGCCACTGCGCTCGTCACCCTGAGACATAAGTTGACAAGTCTCATGTGTTAATTAAATTTTTATTGAATTGATATTCAATTATTTTTTGTGAAATTACTCCACTAGTTTGTTATAATTATTAATACAAAGATCGAACACTCAGAAAAAATTCCTTCGATCCGGTCGGATTCGAACCGACGTCTTCTTGCATACCGTGCCAGACCTTATACCAACTAAGCCACGGAACGAACCAACGGACCTCACGAATTTTTCTATGTGCTTGCGTCGGGTCTTGGTCTTTCAACGACCACAAGTCTCATGTGCCTGTAATTTCACCAGCACCTTCTAAACCGGAACGCAGTAATGCTCACATTACTGCTTGGCAGCAGAAATAGGTAAGGTGGCAGTACTTCCCTGGACGAACTCTTTCACAAGGAGCTCTACTGGACAGGGCTATTAGTAAAAAATAGAGTTGTTTATTGCCTGTTTATAGGAAGGTGTGAAATTTTTCACTCTATCGCTTTTGTTTCACTATGTTTTTCAAATCTTTCAACGCCACTCGGTAATTGGTATTTGATACATATGTTCATACATATTAAGTACACAATTGATGTTTAAAGATATTGCATTTTAAACCTTATCAAAGTGTCGTAAGGTTCAATTCGCTATACTGAACTTTATTAGTTGATGTACAACAGAATGAGGTGTTCCGTATGCAGTGAGAGAGGTGTTATGAATATTGAACTGTAGCCATTAAGTTATAATGATTGGTTTTGTAAGTTACAAGTGTTAGTATGGCATTTTCAAATATTTTTTTTAGCGTAAGGCGTTTGTTTATGAGCCAGACAATTACACCAAATGTCGCGTTTTTGTACGTAGTTTCTGTTCTTTTTACATTATACATACACATTTTACATTATATTAGTTGCTATTTACATATTTCTAATGACTCATGTATTGAACTGTACTAAGCATGTTCTCATCACCTTTTTCCAATAATTTATATCAATTTGTTTTTATTTATTTTTTCCATATCAAATCATTTATTGTGTACGAACGTCTAGAAGGTCTTATATACCATTGTTGTGTTAGTACCAGTAGTATTGACAATTTTATGGCATGCCATTTGCTTAATGAAATTAATTCAATCGTGTATTAGTAAAACTGTCAAATCTTATTTGTCGTTTCAATTCTTAATAATATCATACGTGTCATTATTTTGTTGTAGTTAACTATTGTTCTATGTTATTGTCATTTAAATAATCGCTGACTTCGTAATATGCTTTTTTAGTCAATAAATTAAAAACACACTTTTTAAAATTGGCAATGTCGCTTGTATTAAGGATATGATTTGGCAGATTATTGTACAATTTTGGCGCTATCACACATATTGTTTCTTTTCATTTCTTTTGTCGCGCTCAATTTTTACGTTGATAAAATTACTGTGCAGAACTGCCAAGATGAGTTTTAAAATCAGCTATAACCTTGCAGCCATGTTTGGCACTGTGTTAACCTTTTGCAGTCATTGGTCGCGGCGCTCGCGATGACATAAAAATGTGACGTCACGGTGCTTAACGTCATGTTAGCTATTGTGGTAAAATTTAAAAATTTATCACTCGAATTTGAGAGTTAAATGTGGATATAATAGCTTTATCGAGGCGTCGCAGACAACATGTGCTCTCTGAAACAAAGATTTGCCCACGGTAGCTAACTGGCTAGGATGGTGATGGGAATTATCATTGAGGTACCTATCTGTATAGGTTTTCTTTCGAAATACAGTATGGCCTAAGGTGTTATTAGGATTTCTTTTAATTAAAACATCTAAGAAAGCTAAAGTACCACAATTTTCTCGTTCCATGGTAAATTGGATCTTAGTACTAAAAAAGTTAAAATAAAATTAAGAAATAATAATATAATAAATAATAATAAAAGTAAAAGTTTCTTTAAACATCCTAATTTCAACAGGGAAGATGGTTTCTCCACACCACCAGTTTGGGATCCAGTTTTTCCTCTGATGAAAAATAACAACCAGACATAAGACTGCAGTACTAATTAATATGTTTTAATTTATTCCAGCATGTATAATTAATTAATAATAAATTGAACTTAATAAAAAAATCATTCAATAAAATAATTTGTAAAACGTAATGTAGCGTAAATTGGAATGTTTTCTTTGTAAAATTAAAAATAAGGTATTTAATTAATAACTTTTGTAACTATAGTGAAAAAAAGGGTGTTTTGCATTAATATTAGACGTAACTGATTGATGACTGTACCACCTCAGTCAAACGTGACCATGGGACCTGTAAAAGGCCCGAAACGTCGATTTGTTTGAAAAAACAAATATACGCGATTTAAATCCGGAAAAATGGGGTCATTTCCTATTTAATAATTAAGTTGATGAGGTCCAAATTCAGAACGCATCCGAAGATAAACTTTTTCTTTTTCTTTTTTTTTTTAATTTATTAAGGCTTTGGCAAAGCCATCAGCCTAAACATGAAGTTTAATTATGTTTCTGTAAACATGGCCGCCACAAAGAGGATAGGCAATTTGAGGCGGCGGCGGCGTGCTTGGATTGACTCGGGATTCCTTAAAACAGGCCGATACGGGTATTTTAGTTCGAGATTCATATAATTTCGCGTTTTAACCTTCGATTAAGGCACAATAGCACTATCCTATTCCACTTTAAACTAGAATTCACAAAATAATTGAAAGTCAGAATAAAAACGACACTTTTCCCTCCAAAAGGTCCAGAGCGAATGATAAATAAACCTTTTCTTTTGATAAAAAAAAATTGATATTTCATAGTTCAACTGTTTCCTTCATCTACCATTTTCCTCCATATAGTGAGGTGAAAAGTTGTATGCTTCGCTTGGCAATAAAGTAGTTTTGCGTCTCGTGTCTTGAAACCCTCGCTACGCCCAGAATTCTAGTTTTGAACCACCCGCTTCGCTCGTGGTTCAATCTTAAACTCCTTCGCTTGCTTAATAAATAAAATAAATAATAAATAACGCACACGCTCAACATAGCCCCGCACTAGGGAAACCCTGTGTCGCGGGTGCCATGGACACACACATAGACAACCACAAATTACACCCAAACTCACGAGAGAAATAATTGTAGGCCATACAACTATTTCTCTCGGCCCGGGAATCGAACCTGGGACCTCTGCGTGGTAGTCCGGCATGGTAACCGTTCGGCCACGGAGGCAGAGGCTTGAAACCTAATTCAATATTGCAGCCTTGCATAACAAATAACTAATTCATCGATGAATGTTATCTCTTGGAGCGACTTATCCTTTCTGCTACAGCAGGGTAATAAAACGACTAACACTTCTTTTACTTAAAGCATATACGGATTTAATGATCTTGGTCCATTATGGCTTATTTCCATCTGATCCCCAGGACTGATCCACCGCCAATTTTAAATTGCAACGGATGGGAATCCATATTTTGCAACTCTAAATGGATGTATTTATAAGGTAAGTACAGTCAAGAAAAAAAGAAGTTTTGAAATCAAATATTCATTTATTGAGCCATTGTGATCAAATGTTATAATTATCACACACAATCAATTTTTTTCACAGGTCATTAATGCAAAACTGATATATTGCAAATCTCAATTAACCAAAAAAGGGTCTTACGTAGTATTTAAAATCTAAGTTTAATGTTATAATTATCACAGATACGAGTAGTCTTTCTTTTGTGACAGGTCATTAATATTGATGTATTGCAAATCAAAAAGAACCAAAAAATTTTAAGAAAATACAAAGAGTTAAAGGCCTTGAGACCGTCCAAGTATACAGTTAATGTTGTTCATATCTAATAAACTAAATATAAACAAACTTTAAAAAATTACAAAAAGTCACTACACTAAAAAACGACAAATAACAAAATACAGATTTAATCCAAACGACAACAATACACGTAATACTTTAATTTCGTTCAGTCCACTGTATTATACTTACTTATTAATCAATCTACCTACATTTATGGTTTATTTATATAATTACAACGTGAAAAATCTTGTCCCAACCTGTAACGTGTAATAC